ATACATAGTGTCAAACTCAAGGCCCAGGGGGCTGGATCTGGCCCATGAGGTGCTTAGATCTGACCCACAGGGCCACCCTGGAAACAGTGAAGGACCAGCCCGCAGTGCCTCTGCCAGTGAAAATGGAGCTTGGGAAGGCTCCACTATTACACTCAGTACTGGCTCCCCCCAGGGTTGTGTCTTGAGCACCCTGCTATATGCCTTGTACACCTTTGACTGCTCACCAAGCCATGTAACAAACATCATCATAAAGTTTGCGGACGGAATGACCGTGATTGGTCTCATCTCCAGAGAGGATGAGACGGCATATAGGGCAGAAGTAGAGAACCTGTCTAATTGGTGTTCACAGAACAACCTGTCACTGAATGTCCATAAAACCAAAGAACTGATTATGGACTTCAGGAAACATGGACAGGAACATGCCCCACTCAACATCAATGGAGAATGAGTGGAAACTGTCCCTACGCTCAGATTCCTTGGCATCCATATTTCAGCTGATATCTCCTGGTCCCCTAACACCAAGGCCATAGTGAAGAAGGCTCAGCAGTGGCTGCACTTCCTGCGGGTTTTCAGGAAAAACAATCTGGATAAGAAGCTGTTGCTGGCTTTCTATAAAGCCTCTGTGGAGAGCACTCTGACATACTGTCTGGATGTGTGATATGCAGGCTCCTCAGCTGAGGACAGGAAAACTGTACAGAGGGTGATAAACACAGCTCAAAAGACCATTGGTTGCCCTCTGCCCTCCCTGGAAGACTTAGCCAGGTCCTGCTGTCAAAGCAGAATCAAGGCCATCATAGAAGACCCATCACACCCTGGCAATTAACTTTTTGACCTGCTGCCGTCTGAACAGCGCTTTAGGTCAATAAAATCCCACACCACTAGACTAACAAATAGTTTCTTTCCCTGGGCCATCTGAAATGCAAATAAATACAAAGTCACTACCTTATTAAGATGTGAAAAGATGTGAAATAGAAATACCTCATTCAGATGTATTACAGTACAATCCAGCTCTTATGTATTACATTCAGCAAAGCGTCACAGTAGTGTTGGATGTATATTTTATGTATATTCGTAGATATTGTACTCTCTAATTGCAAATTGAGACGTGGGTACTCTATTTTTTTATCTTCATCTTTAAGTGCTCTGGTTTTATTGTATTGCAAACAGTTGCTGGGGTGCAGCTGTTTTGTTGTACTTGTACAATGACAATAAAGTTCTTTTTCTTCTTCTTCTGCATATGGCCCTCCCAAGCTCCTTTTTTGCTAGCAGAGGGTTTCAGGAGGCCTTCGCAGCCAAAAACGGAGCTCAAAAGCCCATTTTCACTGGAAGAGTGCTTGGGCCACTGTAGGCGCCCCCGACATGAGTGATGTCGAACTGGCCATGCCCACCCCAGCCACGCCCACCCCAGCTACCCAAGGTCAAGCACAACTCTGAGGTGACCCTCAGTGAAATTGAGTTTGACACCCCTGTAGCAGAGGTGGTATTCAGCAGGGTCTGACCAGTTCTGGAGAACCAGTAGCAGAAATAGTGAGTAGTTCAGAATACCGGTAGTGGAAATTTTGAATAGTTCAGAATACCACCACTGACTGGCCCTGCCCCCATCTATTCTATGCCTCCAA